ATTGAACCGTGGTCCCTCTGCTTTGCTAAGCTTGTTCTAAGTAGGTGTTTTAGACCACTGAGCCATCTCACCAGCCCCTAGGTTCCTTTTTTTGCACAGGAATGACTTTGCTAACCTATGGAATGAAGTGGGAAATTTGGGCATTACCTGTCGCATACTGATTTCTCACAAGGTCAGATGGTAGGTTTAGTTTAACTGTGGTGTGAATGAATCTATTTTGATTGCTTGCTAGCCTGATCTACTGAGGCTTCATGTAGCAGCTTAGTCCACAACACTGGCTGCCAGTAATTTTCACTGAACACTGTTTTGCATTGAACTTCTTACAAATTCGAACCTGGTCTTCTGCTGAACATTGTTGATTAATACTCCAGATTCTTTTTTTTTTTTTTTTTTTTTTTTGACATCTGGTTTAGAAAATAGGAGTAAATAGGAGTAAGGGGTGGATACAGATACTCTCTGTCCAGAACCAACATAGCTCCTGGCACACGTGACTAGGCTCTTATCAGTAGTTCGGCTGTACATCAGAGTACCTGGGTATCATGAGTACCTCTGTACATCAGAGTACCTGGCAAACGCGAGTCACACATGCAGCTGCACTGGGATGTTCTTTCCTTACTCAGTAAGGAAATCGCATCATCATGTTCTATTTGGGAAGCTTAGGGGTAAATGGATTCGACATTAAGAAAATGAATAAAACTGTGTGTAAAATATATCAGTGTTTTGAAAAAATGTTACAATGTGAGATAACATTTTTTTTTCCACAAAGATGAGAAGTAAATATAACAAAACCCAGATCCTCACTCATGCTGGGCTAGCTAGCTATCACTGAATTATATTTTCAGCCCCTTAAATGCAACTTCAGTTGCCACTTAAATTAATAGAATACTACAATCTTTATTCCCCCCACTTTAATGCAGACTGCTGTTATAACACTGAACTATATTTTTAAAGCTTTACACTTTTTTCCCACTGTCAAGTTGCCAACAAAGCTTTGAAATGGCTCAAAATTGAGCAGTAGGTAAAGCAGGAAGAAGAAACTAGGGTTTAAAATAACTTATCAAATGCTAAGGCCTCCCCTGTACTGTTTTCTTAAAAGGGAGACCTCTTTTCGATTACCTGTACTTAGCAAGATCCAAACAAACAAACTGTGTGGGGGTTCTTCCTGAGTTCTGGTGACTGCTGCTACTACTTTTTTTTTTTTTTTTTGGTACAAAATTGGATTATTTTCTGGGTTTTACATAGCTTTTTCTATCTGTATTGCTGAGGTATCTATACAATATTTTCCATTGTCGAATTCCTTTGTTTTTAATTTCTATGTGTGTTAAACGTTCTAAATGTAGAATATTCTCCTTCCTTCCCTCCAGATCCTCGAGCTGCCACAAGTGCAGCCTGCACTCCACACACCAACCTCACGTCATCAGTTTCAACCTGCACTTCTTCTTTACCTTACTTCAGGCATTTATCATCATAAACAGATAATCCTTTCTTTCCTCACCTTTCCCCTTTGTTTTCAAACCACCTGGTGTATTTTAAAAAGCTTACTTCTAGCCATCTCTCTCTGTCTATCTCTGTCTGTGTCACTCTCTCTTACATATATTTGGTACAGGGTCTGCAGGGTCTACAGGGTCTCCCTACGTAGATCGTAGATCTAACTCAGAAGTGATTCTCCCGGTTTTAGGCTCCCAAACCCTGGGGTTACAGGTGTGCACCACCACACTCAGTCTCAATCACGGTCTCAGCACACCCCGGGGGCAGGGCTGGCCTGGCACTGAGGATGGAACCCTGGCTGCTGTACAGGCACTTTAGTCCACCGAGCTATCTGGCTGGCCCTAAATTTGATTCTTTTTTTTCTTCCAGCCATCTCTTGCTTTCCTCGTTAACAGAAAATTAGGGAAAATCTTTATAGTCAATTGGAATAGTACATTCTTTTTAGTGGCTGCCTAGAAATGGGTTTTTTTGTTTTACTTTTCGTTTTAGTACTGAGAATTAAACTGAGGAAGCCGCAGTTTAGAAATCAAACTTTATTGAATGACTCCTTGTTAAAGGGCAGGCCTGGCATTTGTTTTCTTTTGTTTTTGTTAGTTTTGCCACTCTAAAGCTGTTCCAAAGAACATTCTTAGACTGAGTCCTTGAATACTTGGGTCTTTTATTTTACAGCCAAAGAGAAGTGTTAGCTTGGCTTCAAACATATGTTTTTAATAAATGTTGGCAGAATCTTTCAAAATGACATCTAGAAATTTCCCGAAGGCCCTTCCTTCGTCCTGTTCAGTCACAGGTATTTCTTCCCTATTTTGCTAAGAATAGACTATAATTGCAACATTGGTTGTATACCCCAGGCACCTGTTAATATGCCATCGGATAGTCCAGTAATTCCAGTGAGAAAGACTGGTCAGCTTGTATGGTTGGGGATGCTTGTGTTTTTTCTTTCACTTATGTATTTGGTACAGGGTCTCACTACGCAGCTCAGACTCATAGTGATCCTCCTGTTTTCAGCCTCCCCAGCACTGGGATTATAGGCATGTGTCATCACATCTGGACTCATTCACCTGCTCAGCATGCCCTGAGGCATGCTGGACTGGGGATCAAATGCTGGTCCCTGCGCTTGCCAAGCAGGCACTTAGTCCACTGAGCTATCTCACCTGCCCGCTTGTGTTTTTTCTTTCATATTTCTTAAAGATTCATAGCTCATAGCAGAGAGCGGGCTGGGTACCATGCTAACACACCTTATTCCCTTTACTAATAGGAAGTTAAGATTCAAAGAAGTGGATGGAGCTCCACAGAGCTGGTTCAGGTGGCCCCTCCTGAAAGCAATTGTTCTGCATCCTGACACAGGGCATTAGCTGTTACACCATGCTGCTTCCACGCTGGGCCACACTGATGGTGGACTTCAGGGGGGACCCTCCAGGCTTCACCTGCGAGCTAAATTGACTAAAAGGGATAAGCTGGATCTGGTTTTCAGTTGCCTCCCACTGGGACAATCAAGCTTCCCATCCTGCTCAGGCAGGGTGGGGTTTGCTTTGTAAACTTCTGAAAAGATAATAGGAAATTTGTTAACTTGGTTTTGTGTTGGTGTTTGTTGTTCTTAATCTTGTGGGGCTTGGAATTTTATTTTTCTGTATGTTAGAGCTCACTAAGTATGGAGCAACTAGGTTGTAGCATAGTTAAAATAACAATAGTGAAGTTCAGCAGAGATTATTATTTACAGGACTCAACTTTCCTCCTTCAGTTTCCCCGAATAGAAAACTGGATCATCGGTGTACAAGCAAAAGACCCTTGAAGGTGTCCTTATATAGCTCGCTATGCAACACATACAGTCTGATAGATGTAATAGGTACAGTCTGATAGGGGTTTATGTGAATGTTTCCTAGGGCGGAAATAAAATAAGCTTTGTGAAGGAAGCCATTTTTGCTCCTGAATCTTTAAACTGTTTTACTTTCCCCCAACCCCAGCCTCCGTTTGTGGCTATTGAGACTGGGGGAGGAGGTCCCCTTTGTTGCCCCCACTGCTGTGCTCAGTGATCTCCTACCTCACCTCCTGAGAAGTAGGACACAGGTGTGTGCCACCATACCTGGTTTAAACTCAGTTTTAATGGCAGGGTTCAGGTTTAGTTAATGGCTGTCTCGAGAGAAGTGAAATGGAAGACTCCAGCGTTTGGTGTCTCCTTTGGGCTTGCTCTGTTTTTCACCGCAGAGCACTTGACAGCACAACATGAGCTTTCCAGGATGCTTTTTGATACAACCCATTTAGGTTCCTCTGCCCTGTCTGAATAGTATTGAAAGTAATTGTGGTGTAGAGTCACTTAGCATCAGATAAATACCAGAAAGCATGTGCTAGTAGACCTAGACACAAGCCGTGGTGGCTGTCTCTAGACCTGCAGTGCCCATGGTCCTCTGTGCGCTGTTCCAATACCTGCAGACCAAAAGCACTGGGGAGCTGAGGCTCTGGAACTTACATCATCAGATGAAATCCACATCTATGGGGAGGAGACCAGGAATGAGTGCTAAGAGCTTTCCCAATGACTCTTAACTAATGTCAGGGCAGAGAACTTCTAGGCAAGCCGCTTAGGAGAGAGTTTCTCTACCTAATGAAGAAAGAAATAGAAGTAATGTAAGTTGTTAGATTTCTGCCTCACTAGTGGTCATCATGTCTGCTCATTATCTCTCAAAGTGCCCTTGCTTTCCCCTTCTCCTTCCTAAATATTGTGGGCCCACATTATACAAAATCAGCTTATAAGTGAAAACCTAAATCATAGAAAAAATGTCTGGGAAGGGACCTTGTGCTTTAGAAACCACCACACCCTCCCTTGGTACACCTAGTAGTCAGTGTTTTCTTTGTCATTGGAATAGGTGAGTTTCTCTGGCTACAAATCTAATGAAAATAGCACTTGGGAGCCTTGATATATGTAAAAACACAGATCTTTAAGTACTGGAATAGCACTTAGCTTGGCAAGACACGAAAGCCCTGAAAGGCACAACTGAGACTGGAGCTGGAAGCTGCAAAATCGTGCTTCTCGTCTCAGTCCTGAGGCCCACTCAGTCCTTGAATCTGGTGTGAGCAGAGTTGTGGGTACCACTGGCCTTATGAGTTTCTGTGCCTTTCAAAGACACATATAGTTGAATTAAAAAATTGAATATTGTATGGGCCAAATAGCTCAGCCAATTAAAGCACCTGCAAGCAGGTGCAGGGGCCAGGGGTTCGATACCCAGGCCTGCCACACTGGCCCTGCCTCCAGGGGGCGCTGAGACAGCAATTGAGACTGGGTGTGGTGGCACGCGCCTGTAATCCCAGCTCTTGGGAGGCTGTAAGCAGGCGGATCACTACGAGTCCAATCTAGTAGTGAGACCCTGAACACCCTGTAGACCCTTCCCTAAAAGTACCAAATAAATTGATTAGATGCATTTTGTCACTGAATATTCAAAAATGGAACTTTTTTGCATATATAGAATTCAGCATGTATAGGATTTTGCATGTGTAGGATTTACTCTCTTTCTGTCCTCTAGCATTCCCGTGGTTCGGCATGGATATCGGTGGAACCCTGGTTAAGTTGGTCTATTTTGAACCAAAGGATATTACAGCTGAAGAGGAACAAGAGGAAGTGGAGAACCTGAAGAGCATCCGGAAATATTTGACTTCTAACACAGCCTATGGGAAATCCGGGATCCGAGATGTCCACCTGGAATTGAAAAACCTGACTATGTGTGGGCGCAAAGGGAACCTGCACTTCATCCGCTTTCCCAGCTGTGCCATGCACACGTTCATTCAAATGGGCAGCGAGAAGAACTTCTCCAGCCTCCACACCACCCTCTGTGCCACGGGAGGCGGGGCTTTCAAGTTTGAAGAGGACTTCAGAATGGTAGGTCAGGCCAGCCCCTGCTCAGAGCTGCTCACATGTCCATAGTCAGGTATTACATGCCTGAGAAGTCTGCTAACCTTGGATGTGGACTGATTACTTTAGTTCTGTACCTCAGATTCCTTGTCAATAGCTCCTACCTCAGAGGGTTGGTACATGGGGGCATACATAATCCAGTGCAATGGCACACACTTGTGATTTTAACGGCTTAGAAGGTGAGATAGGAAGATTGCACGTTTAAAGCCAGCCTAGGCTACGTAGACTCTACCTTTAAAAAAATACTGAGAAAGGAAAGAGAAAAAAACAAAAAGAATTAAGTGAGATAAGAGACCCTTGGTACTTAGTAAGTACTCAATATGCACTAGTTATCATTGTCATCATGTCTTTTACAGTTGATGCTACGTGCTGTGGCAAAGGCAAGATGATATAAATCCCTTTCTAAAGTTAGGTTTCATTTAGAGTCTCCCACAGACTCACTACGTAGTCATGACACTGGTTTCATCTCCATCTGTCTCTATCTGTATCTCTGTCTCTGTCTCTAATTTACTAAGGTCAACAGGAAGGCTTTCTATAAATCCTATTAAAAATTGCTACTTCTTTCTACCTATTTATTCTCATGTCTTTCTTGTTATTCTCATGTCTGAATGTCATTCAGAGGTTTTGCTCACAAATAGATGTGAAATCTTCAATATTATTTATGGATAAATTTGCTTATTGGTAAATCCCACTTAGAGACTATGATAATGCTTCGTCCAGATGGACAGTACATAGCAATATACACTGCTTATTTAGATTTGACAAATGCTGCAAAATGTAACATGCAGATGAAAAGATGAAGTGTGAAATGTCTCTTTATTTACCAATCTCTTTACATCTGTGTGTTTCAGTTTTCCCACGTCTTGTAGTCAAGACAATAATCTTTGTTTTGCCCGATTTCTTCGCACAGAATAAAATGCAGATGAAGTTAAGCAATAGGTCCATGTAGATATATTGTATATCCACTGGAAAATAAAGGGGTTAGATTGACAAGGCAATCAAACATACAAGATGGAAAGATTAGAAGATTTTAAGATTAATGTTATCATAAAGTTGAAAATATACTGAAGTGAGTGTAAAAACATACTTTTTAAGTAGATCTATAATCCCAGCTCGTAGGGAGTCTGAGGCAGGAGAATTGCAAGTTCAAGTGCACCCTGGATAATTTAGTAAGATCCTGTCTCAAGAATTTTGAAAGGGCTTGGGTTATAACTTAGTGGCTGAGTGCTTGTTCATCATGCCTGAGGCCCTGATTCAATTGCTAGCACCACAGAAAACAAAATAAAACCAAAAATATATATACATATTCTCACAGCCTATGAGACCATCTGCTGCATTTTATGATAGAATTAATGTAATTTTGTCTTGCTATAAAGTCTGTTATTAATGAATCAACACATTATAGTATTTAATATAGATAGAAATATGAATTTTATTTGTGTCATAAAGTGTAACACCATTTACCTCACTGATTTTCGTTAAGTAATTTCTGTAGGACTCTGCATACAGTCCTAGACAAGTACAAGTAAAACTGATTATTTTCAGGTTTTGGCTTTTTTCTTCTGTGTCCGCTTCTCCTACCCAGCAGGCGATTTTGATATTACCACTTAATGTAAATAGCTCTTAGGATCTTTTTATCACCCCTGTGGTTCAGTGGCCAGATTTGAAACAGAAAAGGTTAAGGTTCATGGACTTGAGAACTAAATTTGCATTCCTGATGCAGAAAGGGTTGAACCTGAATTCTACTCTTGTTTCTGCATTTAATCAGGACAACTTTGGGCAAGATATATCCCTCCTGTGGGCCTGTTTTTTCATATGTGGAAAATTAGCTGTGAGGAAGAGGAGGATTTTTAGGACAGCAGAGCTGGAAGTGACCCCTGGAGATGAGGCAATACAGCCCTGAAGCCTGTGTGTGACATGCACAAAAACACTACAGCTTAACGCATGATCACGAGGCCTTACCTTAGCAATGCCTCCAAGGAAGATCTGGGTGTTCTGTGAGCTCACCGGTCTCTCAAGGACACTGCCTTGTCCAGTAGAGAGCCTCAAGTGAATAGGCGACTTGAGAGATTTATGTAACTTGTCTGTCCTTGCCTCTGTCTCTTCCTGGGGTAATGCAGGTCTTGGGAGAAAGTTACTCAATAGGTGTTGCCTGTGAGCAAGTGTGTTTCTCAAGGTTCTGAACCCTGAAGGGTCATACTCTCCTTCAGGCATGCTCTCGCAGCCTAATGACTAGATTGCAACATGAAGCAAGTCTGGAGCAAGCCTCGCAATTTTACAAGAGTCTAGCCAGCTGGGGTGTTCATCTATAATGAAAATGTCTTGGACTTTTTTTGGCTTCTGTGCTCAGTGTTGGCCAAAGTGAAAACATAATTGAAAGAGACACCTCTTCCCATATCCATTGTGGCAGCACTCTAAATAATGTGCCCATATAATCCCAAAGTATGTCAGGATGAATAGGTCTTACCATCTTCTTCCTAAGCATTTATTCACTCATTTAACAAATAATTTATCAGGCTTCTCTGTGCCAGGTACTGTTATGAGCAAAACAGAGTTCCCGCAACTGCCCCACATTTATATTCCAGTAGTAGAGATAGTCATAGCAAAATGAATATGTGAATATAGAATATATCAGATGGTGGCAGTTGCTGTGAAGGAGAAAATAAAAGCAGGACAAGTTGGATAGTGAGTTTTGGGAGGATACCTTGTTTTCTGGTTTTTTGGGTTTTTTTTTTTTTTGTGTGTGTGTGTTTTAGGGAAAGTTCTACAGGGTGTTCAGGGTCTCACTGTGTAGATCAGCCTGTTTACAGCCTCCCAAGAGCTGGGATTACAGGTGTACACCACCACGCCCAGTCTCAATTGCCATCTCAGCATGCCCTGGGGGGTGGGGCCAGCACCTTAGGCCTGGGGATTGAACCCCATCCCCTGTGCCTGCTTGCAGGCGCTTTAATCTGCTGAACTATTTGGCCAGCCCTGGGAGGATATCTTGTGATGAAGTCACACTACCATAAAGATTAGAAGTAATAGAGCAAAACCACACGCGTCTGGGAAAGAGTATTTTAGGCAGACAGAACAGTGAGTGTGAAGGAACATAGGTGTCCAGAATACAAAAATTTTTTAAGGGGATAGAAAATTGAATAGAAAATTATTCTTTAATTGGAAAGGATCAGTATATGCTGTTGTGTATTTTAAGCAACTAAATAATAAAGTTGTACATTTACATAAAGTTCTGTTATTGTTATTTTCTAAAAGTGCTGTTTTCAGTGTAATATGACTTGACAGATAGGAATTTTTAAAAGCTACCTGAGTAGGGCTAAGCAAAAGAAAAGATGTTCAGTAAACAGAATAGTCAGCAGTTATTAGGTGTGATGACTCTATCCTTGTTTTATATAGCAAGTGTATTAAATCTTTAAATAATAGTAACTGTTCTTCATCCAGTTTAGAATGTACAAGAAAGAGCTATAAAACATGAAACAAGCATTAAATCAGACCTTTGTGTGAATACTTGCAATTTGACAAAGCTACATTTCAGTTTTGTTCTTTATTTTTTCCCTCCTTCCTTTCCTTTTTTTTTTTAACATTTAAAGATCACCATTCCAATTAGAGTTATGAAAAAATAATTTTCAAAATTAGTGATTTACTTCATCTAGCTTTCAGTAGCCTACAACATCAATTAGTTTAGATACCCATGTTTTTAAAAAGTCAGGAATCCTGCATGGCTGTATACCAGAACACAGAATACTGTAAGTTTCTGATATATTCCCCCTATACTTTATAAGTTTTGTTTTAAAGAAACCAGAAGAATTCATTATTTACTAGTTCTAATATTTTCCGCTACTACCATACTTCTGACTTTGAGTAAGAATATGCTTAATAAGAAAGTATTCCTAACAACAAGAAATATGTATAGAAAAAATAGTCACCCTTTCTGTTCAGGTAGCTCTTTATTCTAATCAATATGAGTTTTGTTGAATCTGAAATTAATATTGGGGCCGGGGAGATGGCTCAGTAGAATAAGCACTTCCCTGGCAAGTGCAAGGGTCTGAGTTTAATCCTCTGTTCCA